ACATGACCCTGAATTACCCAATCTGATAATAATCTCTGATCACGAATTATCTGGCGGATTATTGTGGTCCAGTGTATAAGCCGATGCCTCTGTGCTGTTCATTATAACAAAGTGTTCTATTAACTGTTCTTGTTCTTTGTTCATTTGGCGTTCTAGACATAGGGAGGGTGGGAGGTGTTATAGGTGAGTGGTGGAGAAGTGAAGACTCTCTCTCTCTCTCTCTCTCTCTCTCTCTCTCTCTCTCTCTCTCTCACCCCCTGCCCTCACCATCCCCCCCCCCCTTACCCTAAGGAGATTTTTGCCTTACTCCGGGGTCAAGGAGGTCAAGAGGTCAAGTCAGGTCACGACTATTCTCACGGGTGCTTTGAGGTCACCAACGAATCATTTTGAAATATGTTTATTTCTTAACGTTTCTTTTATGTCTTACGAAGCTGAGAGACAGTGAGACACATTTACTGGTGTTGATCCTTTTGGTGAGAAATAATAGGAGAATAATTTTAAGTTCTCTTGATAAATACAGGTCAGGTCAGGTTAGGTCAGGTCAGGTTAGGTCTTGGACTTCATTACATTACAAGGTATTATTTTCATACAGAGAACTTTAATAAAAAATCTCAAAATATTATAATTTTAAAAACTATAAACACAAATTATCTTATCACAGATTCTAAAATAAAAATCTTTAAATTAAATAATCAAAATTGACTTAACTTCAAAATCAAAATAATACAAATGTTTAATATTTATCGGGTTACAATTTTCTAATCATCAAAATCAATGTCAAAATAAGATATCTGAGGTCACACTTAAAGGGTTGTTGACCTTGTAGTTAGGGGTCAAAGGTCACGCCAGTAATAGTACCTCACTGTCTCCTGTGAACGTTTTTCTTCTTACCAAACGTTCATACACTGTACTAAGTAAGTGTTCATAAACGTTTACAATATTTACACACGTTCATAAGTGTTTACAAACGTTCATAAATGTTCATAAACGTTCCTAAACGTCCATAAATGTCTATAAACATCCATGAATGTTTACAAACGTTCATAACTGATCATAAACGTTCATAAATGTTCTTAAACGTTCCTAAACGTCCATAAATGTCTATAAACATCCATGAATGTTTACAAACGTTCATAAATGTTCATAAACGTTCATAAATGTTTATAAACGTTCATAAATGTTTATAAACGTTCATAAATGTTCATAAACGTTCATAAATGTTCATAAACGTTCATAAATGTCTATAAACGCTAAAAAAATGTTCTTTAATATTTATAAACTTCAATGAACGTATTTTAAGGTACATATGCCAGTCTTGCCTACACTTCTCCCCTTGTATGTTCTATAATAAAGTAACACAGAAATATTATTGATCTGTGTCTCATTCTCCTTGTTATATCTAATCTAACTTAACCTAACACGATCTAACCTAAACTAACACATGTAGAGTATAATTTAGTTGTTGAATATAGCGACACATAATATTTTTCCCACAAATAAATAAATTAAACTCTTCCATTGTCTTGAATTAATTTTCTTAAGGTATATAGGACAA